CCCCACCCTGCCCCCCCAAACTTCCAAGCCGAGCCAAACTTGACACGGTCGATGAGATCTGTGCTGTTGGAGAACCCAATAGGCATTGGGCAAACAATGAAACCTGAACCCTAAAACCAGAACCCTAAGTTAAAAACCCTGAGTCCTGATACCTGAGCCCTACACCCTGAATCTACATTCGCCTTTGGAGCATGAAGCGGCGGCCGCCGTCACGGACACATCATCTGCAGCTGGAAGTGCTTGGTAGAGACCTTGGCGAAATGGAGGCGACTGAGGGATGATAAGCTCCTTTAAAAAAAAAGGTTTAGGGTTTAGGGGGAACCCAAAAAAGGAACCCCAACAATATAGTAGGAATATAATCGGACATAGGGACCCTGGTAGGTATATTCCTATCATATTCCTACTAGATTTTTTGGGGTTCCCTGTTTGGGGTTCCCTGTAAAGTCCCTTGGGTTATGTAGAGATTACATAGGGGAGGATTATAGGGGCTATTAAGGGAGACAGCAGGAGTTTAGACCCCAATCCCTAGGGCATACAATAAGGTCTCAGGTTTGGGGTGTAAGGGTTTAGGGTTTAGGATCCAGTAAGTTTAAGGTTTAGGATTTAGGATGCAATAGTGCTTAGGGTCTAGGATAGAGTACGTTTTAAGGTTTAGGATTCAGGGTCTAAACTCCTAGTATCCCCCGTAATAGCCCCCCCATAATCCTACCCTACTGTATGTAATCCCCCTCTCTAACCCCCCTTCAGGAATAGGATCTACGCGGATTGCTGTCATCCCTGCAAAACAGACTGCGCGAACACACTCTTGTTATCTTGCTGCCTACGTGAACAACGCGGCACTCCTGGGCTGTAGAGAAGACATCCAGAGGGTTTGGGGTTTAGGGTTGAGGGTTTAGGGCTTGGTTTTGGGTATCCTAGGCAGCACGAACCTCTTCTAGTTTAGGCTTTCCCCACAAAGTAACAGTCCATGACTGAGGTAATAGTAAGTACTATAGAAGTTTAGGGTTCAGGGTTTATGTTGTATGCATAGCTTTGCTTTTGAAGCTCTTACTGAGTGGGGGGAGTACCCAAGCTTAATCAGGGTCAACAGGAAAGCAACAGAGCCGAGGTCTAAAACCTAAACTCTACACCCGAACTCCTGAACCCCAAAATCCCCAAACCCAAAACTCTAAACCCTACACCTCTAGACCCCACAACATCTATAAACCCCTAAACGCCTCAAGCGTCATGATCCCAAATCTCATCTCTAAGACTCTGATCCCTAAGCCACGCAGCCGTCATCTGTAGGGCTCTTCACACCCAGACCCCGAAAGGATCCAGGGCTTAGGGTTTAGGGTTTAGGGTTCAGGGTTCTGGGGTTTGGGGTTTAAGGGCTTAAGGGTTTTAGGATTTATGGAAACCCCTTCCTCCTCTCCCAAAGCACACCCAAAATACGGTGTACTACATCAGCGGGGGTTTTCATAAGCAAGCCCCAAACAAGAAATCTCTAAACTCCTAGGCCCTAAACCCTAAACTCCCAAGTCCTAAAACTCCCAAATCCTAAGTTTACTAAACTCCCTAAAATCCCTAAACCCAAACTCCCATATCCGAAAACTCCCAAATCCTAAGCCCTAAACTCCCTCAACCCTAAACTCCCCAATCCTAAGCTGTAAAATCCTAGGCCCTAGCCTCTAAACCCTATAAACTCTAAACCCTAAACCCTGAAATCCTAATCCCTAAACTCCCTTAAAAAAACCCTAAACTCCCTCAAACCCTAAACTCTGAGCCCGGTTGCGGAGTGCCCTCTTCCACTGCATTCCCTTCTCACAAGCCTGGGCTCAGGGAATCTGATGCGTCGGTGTAGGCTCAAACTGAAGGATATTCAGTGAGCGTCTAGGGTTTAAGGGTTAAGGGTTTAGGGGTTTAGGGGCTTAGGCTTCACTTATGCTAAGGCTCCAAATAGCCTAAATGCCGTTTATAGTATGGTCTTTGGGCCCCAAAAAACCTCAAGAGATAAGTCCTTAGAGCCTTTGGGTTAGGGTTTGGGGGTTTAGGGTTTTAGATTTTAAGAGGTTTAGGGTTTAGAGATCAGGGGTTTAGGGCTCAGAGATATTAAGGGTTCCGGGTTAAGGGTTCAGTGTGTAGAGGCTTTCAGTCTTTCAGCTGACCTAGAAGGACCTGGTACTACAAAGCTAAAAATGTTGGGCAAGTGTGTTTTTTTCAAAAAATATGAATTGCTTTCCCTGGGCGAGGTTCATTGTTAAGGGCCACGGCCGTAGAAGCCCTACCCATGATAGGGTAGCTTCTTGACTCCCCCAAGTGAGCTATAATCTAAACTCTCCTGTTAATAGCCCCTGTAGTAGTCGCCTATGTAACCCCCTAAATAACTCCCGTAAATGAGTTTAGACCCCAAACCCTAAACCGTTATCCCCTATGTCATTATTATTGCCCCTTTAAGGAATTAGACCCTAAACCCTAAACCCTCTAAACCCTATATAACCCCCTTTAAGGAGTTTAGACTCGAGCTCACATACGGTAGGACAGGGCTGGGTGAAACTCTACAGCTTTGAGGTCCTAACCTCTCCCGGTTAAGGAATGATGGAGGTTGAGGGATACCCTTAACCCTATAAACTTTAAACCCTAATCCCTAAACAACCTTATAACCCCTAAATCCTAAACCCTAACCTGAAGCCTTAACATCCCGAACCCTTGAAGTTGAGGGATAGCCAGAGTCCCAAACCCAAAGCTCTACGTTCCAAATCTTCTTGATCCTAACCTTACGCCCATGTAGTGTTTAGGATTTTGGGCTTAGCGTGTAAGGTTTGGGGTACGAGGGTAAACTCTATCCTAAGATACTGAAAACCTTCCATCCCACAATACATAAAGACCCTGTAGCGAGGCAACACTGAACCATCAGCCGGAAATTATGGAGAGACTATTTGGGTTATATAACCCTAAACCATAAACCCTAATATAGGGATTCTATGGGGGTATATAGAGGTTATATAGGAGATATCTAGACATTATATGGGGCTATATAAAGGTTCTGTAAGAGTTATCCAGGGGTTATATAGGGTTTAGAGCTTTGAGCTCCGAATCCATACCAAAGGCTCAAAACCACACAATGCCCTGCATTCTATGGTATTTGGATGCGAACTAGGTTCCCCAGTAAGTAACCCCTTAATACTGAGGGTACCCTTTTTCTTTATGTTCAACTTTGATAAGAAGACCCCACAATAAAAAGGGAAACAGGGCACTACTGGGTTACCTATAGGGAGTGCTTGCAAGTCTGAAGCCCCCATCAATCCCAAACCCTAGCTCCTTAGGGAAAGGAGGCCCCCAGCGTTGAGAGCGCAGTTTAGGGTTGAGGGCTTAAGCCCTACAATCTCGAAAC